CTGCAGGAGGAGATAAAAGCTCTGGGGAGCTCTCTCAGCGATAGACTGATTCACCCAAAGTGTGTGAAGGAACGCTATCGCAGGTCCTTCCTGCCTGCTGCTGTCAGGCTTCACAACCAGCACTGCTCACAGTAAACTGCACCATGGACACTCTATGGACACTACGGACTCTTATAAACACCACTATAAGCATTGCTGTCCCCCATGTTGTTTATTTGCACATTCAATATTCACTTTGCACTAAATATGTTAACTTTAATCCATTGCTCACTTTTTATCACTGCTCATTATTATTACTGTTATTATTTATTGCTTTTTTCTGTATTTTGTACTTTGTACTTTGTACTTTTTTGCATGCCTAGTGTTTTTAAGTTTTTTAAGTTTTTAAATATTGACATCTTTAATCTGACTCTTTCTCCTGACTGCTGTAACACTGGAATTTCTCAATTATGGGATCAGTAAAGGTGTATCTTATCTTATCTTATCTTATATTGTAAGGGGGGCATGTGATGATCACAGGGGGGCAGCGTTGCATTTCCCACAGATCTGCACATACATAACTGCCAAAATAGACAAATGGCAATTGTCTATTATTACCGGGACAAGCACAAATTTCACTTCATATGCACATGAAAACCAGTTGTACAACTGACACACACTGCAAACACTCAAAATCATACCAAGAATATTTGTCTCATTTCTAGTCAAAATGTCTCATTTCTAGTCAAAACAAATTTTACACTTAAAATAAGACTCATCACCTTAAATGTAACTTGTTTTTAGACATTTTTCACTTGTTTCAAGCAAATTTTCACTTGAAAGAAGTAGAAAAATCTGCCAGTGGATCAAGATTTATTTTCTTGTTACAAGCAAACAAAAAAACATTTGATCCACTGGCAGATTTTCTACTTCTTTCAAGTGAAAATTAGCTTGAAAGGCACTCTGGTGTGACTTTCGTGTACTGCTCTAGTATGAAGAATGTGAGACAGCAGTCACCAGTTCTCTGCTAGATATTGTGCCATTATAGTCACATATAAATCCACTGACTTTGAAGTCCAGGTTTCACAAGTTTATGTCGCCCTTCCTGTTGTTGTCAAAGATTCCACAACTTTATGTTCAATAATCTCATTGTAGCTGTGTATGGCTTTTGCAGTTAGGCACATATGTATAAAAAAGGGTACAATTTTGCAATTTGCACCGCAGCACAGTTAAGGGTGCATTTCACCCTGTGTGGGTACTTTAAGAATTTCATGGTTTCTTTGTGTCTTATTTTGACAGGTTTAGCAGCCACAAAAGCCACGGCATCCTTTTTTTTTTCCATTTTTCCTGGCAGTATTGCACAATAGATGAATGGACAATGAAGCTCATGCTCATAATGGGTGGTTGGCAATAACACTGTTATTCAATGTCTGAGCATGCCTTTTGTTACTTCTGACAAAGTTGCATCGTATTTGCGCTGTCACATGGCCAAAATATCTAGTGGTGTGAGTAGGTTTGTGTGGTAAAAAAGTAAAAACATATTTATTAATTTCAAAACCTGTCCTATGCTTTGGAAATCATTTGACAACTTAACACTTCTAATCTTATCTGCCAAATCACATCAGATGAGGTACTTCCTTGTTACTTTTCCTTACTGCTATGATATTTTAACATCTGGCTGTTAAGACAAATCAGAACATTTTACAAAATGGATGAACTGTGAGTAAGGCTTCATGCAATGATTGATGTGACTCATACCCATCCTCTTACCTGTGACTTTCTCATTTTAGATCTGTGAATCCAGGCTCCAGCCCTATCCATGCAGGCATAGCTACTGTCCCTGGGGCAGTCCCAGAAGATGAGTCCGCATCACTTACGTCTAAAACAGATGGCAGCTATTTGAAGCAATCACATGCAGGAGTTGCATCAAGCGGTGGCACTCTTCAAACATGCCCAGGGCATGCAGGACCAGGCAGTGACGCAGCTGAACTTCCAGACTTCAGGGCCCAAAACCGACGTTTACTGCCCAACTTAAAGAATCCTCTGCATGTCATTGATGGGCCTGAGCAGCGCTACTTCATCGGCATCATTGACATTTTCACAGTTTACAGTTTTAAGAAGAGGCTGGAGCATTTGTGGAAGACGTTGAGACATCCAGGCCGATCCTTCTCCACTGTCAGTCCACAGACTTACTGCCTCAGATTATGTAACTGGGTACAGGATCATACCAAATAGAACCTGCATCAAGTGGTGGAAACTTATCACCAGCTCTCACTGAGCATGTCTTAACAACTAAATGGCCAACCAAAGTCCTCACACATGCATTGACATGGAACAAATTTATCTCCATCTATGGCATCATATTTGTGCCTCACTTAAACACTCAGAGCACTGAAAAATATTTGATGCAAGCAAAATACATTGAGACTGATAGTTTGCGATTGAATTTTGCAAAAACAAAAAATGCTTCTGACTTCAGTTCTCCTCTTGGCTAAAATTGCAACACATTGCGATACTTTTACCAGTTGAAAGACCTGGAGAACTTGAGAGCATGTAGACTGTAGCAGGGATGTTGAGAGAGGGTTTAAGAGGGCATAGAGCAGGTAAAGAGGGGTAATGAGTGAAACTAAGCAAGATAAAGACTATTATTTAAGTTAATGTGGAAAATGGGAAACAAACAATTACACTGAGCACAGAAAACATTTTTGTTTGCTTAATTGGGATTTAGGGGCATCTATGGGCAGAGATTGTATTAAATATTCATAACTGTTTTAATTAGTTTATAATCACCTGAAAATAAGAACTGTTGTGATTTTGTTACCTTAGAATGAGCCATTTATATCTCCATATGGAGTGGGCCCTCTTCCATGGAGTCCACCATGTTGTTCTACAGTAACACAGGATGGACAAACCAAACACTGGCTCGAGATAGACACATTTGCGTTTTTCGCTTTGTGAAAGTGAACCTCCACATCACTGGTGACCAAGACAGAAAACAATTAATATAAAGGGATTCTTTGCCGCTGTGCAGATGAATAGTGTTTTGCTACCCCACGTGCTGCTGCCAACACCCGTACCTCCACTGTCAGATGCGAGGGAAGCCAAAGAAGGTTCGTCTTCACACTCTATGACACACAACTGGTTGAATATTGGCAAAGCTTCCCTGCTTCCCTTCACTGGTTCCCTTAGGGACTTGGGTTTGGAACCGGAGGGTTGCCTGTTCAAGTCCCCGTCCAGACCAAATATGGAGTGTGGACTGGTAGCTGGAGAGGTGCCAGTTTTCAGGGTCTGATTTTGGTTTTGGAAAGGGGTCTAAACTTAGATCTCCTTCCAACCTCTCCAGGTAACAAGTATCATTAAAAAACCTGACAGCACTCACTAATAAGTATAATACTTTTAATATAGTGGATTGCAAAGCAGCAGTCAAACGGTCAGTCGGGCAGTCAGGCGTCCGTTTGACTGCTGCTGGGCCTGTTGTCTTGGAACTGGAAATCAATGCTGAAATAGCCTACATTAACACTGTGGCTCTGACTTCCGTATTGTATGACAGTTCCTGCTATTTCTGCTATTGTTTTGACTTTGGTTACAAGTTTCCTGGAGATCTCTGAAAAATCCCCTTCAGCAGTTACCACTGACCAACTGGAAAATAGCATGTGAAGGATAGTTCATCTCTCCTTGAAGGCAGTTTCCACTCTTGACACTGGATCAGATGATCTCCCTATGCATGGCCAAACTATTTCCACAAAAACTTATCTAAACCTGACTGGAATGGTAGCTGACCAAATTCTACTGTTTGTGTGGATTCATTCCCCATTGTACCAATGAAGGCCTCCCCCTGATGGCTTTGCCCATCTCTGACTGTAACACCTGTCATCTACTCTACCTGAATAACCTTACATTCATGAACTGTGCACAGTTCCACCTGTGATGAGACCCTCGTCCTGCAAAACACCTATAAGCAAATGTTAAACATGCTCTTATGTCCCTACTGCCATCCCTCTTAGGATAGTTCCCTGACCAATGGTGTGTCAGAGGCACTGGAGGTGGTTTTCTCCAAAACCAAGAAAGTTTTCTAGAATTTAGACTTCAGATTATTGTCCCCAGCCAACAGCATTTGTTACACTAGACACTTATTTCAATAGGTTGAACACTGCTGCTTCTTTCTGCCCCATATTTGCTTGAAAAGGAATGCACTGGAGATGTGGACTAAAAGCATATGAATACCTCTCTAAGGGTTGGAGCAGAGTCTGCAGTCTAGGCTATGCAGTCCCAGTAATTTGAGTTGCTAATCATTGATGATGATTGATGTTGAATGTTGTACTTATGTGCCAGATTACAACACTCAGCATATCCTCATAGAACGGTTTGTATGATATCCTACGGAAATGCAGACCCAACAATTTGTATGATATCCTACCAAGTAGCGCCCTATGAATGAAGTTATATCCTTAACATACAATTATATAATTAACACAAAGTTACAGAGGTTAGGTTTAGGTCAGTAAAGTTACTGTGGAAAGGTTTAGGAAAAGAAGCATGGTGAAGACGTACCGTCAAATGACTCAAAGTTCATACGGTTCTGAACACACATCACATAGGGAAAGTCCTGAGGGAAAGTCCACAATTTCATGACCCATCCACCACCTCAACTTGCCTCCTTACAAGACTGCTCAGGACTGCTTCCTTGTTTACTCCCGTCAGTGCACTGGTCATGAGATCACAGCCGTTTAAAATATGTGGGATATGTGCGAATTTGGGTGCATTACTTCTACTACTACTACTACTACTACTACTACTATTACATTCATAGCCTGCAATCCTAGCCTCTCTGGTATTATTGATATCGGCCATTGGGGCACAAATATTGCTCATTATGTTTTTGTTGGAATAATTGGTTTTATTTTCTTTGCTATTGCTATTATTATTACTTGTATCAGATCAATGTATGAGACTGATATGTGATTACTGATAAGATGACCACTAAAATGATAGTTCAGTGAGAATCTCTTACAGGTCTAACTACTCACTAACCTATCTCCACTGCACAGTGAATAAAAACTCATCTGAACCAGCCACAGAATTGGACATAAAGATCAGCATTCAGAACAAGGTTTTATACTTTTACGTCAAAGCTAACCCAAAACAGTGGGTTGTTGGCTGAGCTTATCAAGAGGTCTGAGTAAAACTAAATAGTTCTCAGTAAACCTAGGACAGGGTTAATAACAATACAGTCTGATTCAATCTCCCCTAATCCCTTCAGGACCTTAGAGAAAGTCTCTCTGGATGACAAAAAATGAAGAATTACACACAGGGATCTGTTTATCACTGTAAAATAGTCTTGTCTCGGCACAGAAGAAATGTCATACAGAACAGCAGGAACTTTATCAGTGAACAGGAATGACAATAATACACTATAAAACTGAAACTATGGGGTAATATATTTTCTCTTGAGTAGCCCTATCTAGAGCCTAGTCTGCCTCATTCAATGGTACTTGTAAAGTCTTATTATATTCCAAAAAGGGGGTCCAGACTATCCGTTAAGAGTGTATCTGTTTTCTTAAGTTTGAGGAAATGCATAGAGTCACTAATCCATCTTGTGAATTTAGGAGGTGCTTGTTCATTATGATGGTGGCCTTTAACATAGATGTTAATTCATATATTTTTTTAGACAGAGCTAAGAGAGCTTGTGGGACATAGTGAACTCACCACCCACACACAGCGGGCAATAGAAACAACACTGATACTAAGAGCTCTAATGTCATTAGTAACATAGTATTTATATGGGAGGGGAGGGGTTATGTTAAGGATGGCCCCAGTGTGTCATGGAGTATGCCCACCCAAAAAAAACCTTGACACAGAAATGATGAAAAATAGTTTAACAGTCTAACTCCATGGTTCAGGGTTACACAGTTTAGTCTTTGAATAGTCAGTTTATTTCTCTGAATAGGGTATGTTTGGAAATATTCATTCCAGGTGCTGGAGTGCACTCTGATACAAACTGGACCATTGGTAAATTTGGAGCGCTGTTGGAATGTACCATTTGGCAATCCGCTGTACCACACTCTCGGAGTAGCAGAGCGCACTCCAGCAGGGTGAAGTTAATGTGTGATTAACTTAACTGTTCGTTAATTCATGTCGAAATAGAACACTCTGTTTCTTTGACCAACAGGGCTCTCATTTTAGTGAATTTATGAAGGCACCATGTCAGGACACTCACTGTCTGCACACGTGAGTGATACTTGAATAAGTAAACCCAAACCAATGGGACCAGACTAGCCAACCCATATGCTCTCACTGGAGAGCTGAATGGATGATTTGACAGGATTGTTGAAGGTGGGATGGCTGGCTTTGTGGTCTTTTTTCACTGTTACAGTCATTAGCGGCAGTAGCTCAGTCCATAGGGACTTGGGTTGGTTGGGAACTGGAGGCTCGACTGTTCAAGTCCAGACCAAATATGGAGTGTGGACTGGTAGCTGAGAGAGGTGCCAATTCACCTGGGCACTGCCGAGGTGCCCTTGAGCAAGGCACTGAACCCCCCCCAACCACTCGGGGCACCTGTCCATGGGCAGCCCCCTCACTCTGACATCTCTCCACTTAGTGCATGTATAGGTCCTGTTTGTACATGTGCGTATTTCGGACCTGTGTGTAATTGATAACGGATTGAAAAAATTGAATTTCCCCTCAGGGGGATTAATAGAGTATATAAAAAAAAGTTAATTAAAATTAAATTAAAAAGCAGAAGCAGCACGTGTAGACATTCAGTAGGCTATACCTTTTGTAGCTAACTAGCTAACCCTACACTTTTCAGGGTCTGATTTTGGTTTTGGAAAGGGGTCTAAACTTAAACCAGTGAGAGCCAACCCATATGCTCTCACTGGTTGATAACTATACCAATTTACCAGTTTCCTCTGTATTGTTTTGATATCTCACATTAGCAAATACGTAGTCTCTATATACAGACTCTACAGAGTCTGTAGGCAAACCCTGGAGATCTTGCCTCTGGAAGAAGAGCGGAAGAGCCCTGGTTTCCGGTTGTAGGCTGTTTGTATTCCACGTGATATTGACCAATCACGTTTGAGCCGGCTGCAGTTATTGCCAGGTTAAACGGTCTGTGCGGTGAACTAATGAGGCGGAACATAATTGGTATCACTGCAAACTCTGAATCCATCGCAATGGTTCAGCATATTTACTTATATCGGAAATGGAAATTCTCCTCCCCCGCCCAATCAAACTGGAATGCCAAAAAATCGGGGGTCCGCCCCCAGAGGCTGTATCGCCGTCTGTGGGAAGTCAGACGCCGAATACAGACAAAGGGTTCCTAGAATGGCAAATATGCAAAAAAGTTAGTGTTACAGAGAAATCCAATATTCCTCTTTATACCTTCCCAATTTCTCATTAGGTGGACAGGATAACCCTTAATACACTAAATGTTATTCATCCCTATAACAACAAATAAGTGTGTGCTGCACATAAGAGCATTTTTGATGACCACCTCCATCTAGTCCTTTCGTCTTATTGCATTTAACCATAGTTGTCTTCATTTTTGTTGACGAGCAGTGGTGGCTGATATGTGATAAAAATTAAAATTTTGAGCCATGACTCTTCTATTCTGGCAACCAACAACACAACAACATGACATTTTAATTTTGCTTTTCCCAAACTTAAACAAGCCCATTCTAGCCAGACCTTAATTCCTGTTTTGTACAAAAAACAAAAGACCAAATTGTAAGTTTTCATACATTTACAGTTTACAGTAAAAATCAATGAAATTTCTTGTATTGAAAACAT